CTATAGAATCTTATTTAAGAACCTATAAAATCAATCTAACGTTAATTCAGGACTAATTCACGACTCGGGAATTATCTGACTTGGATGGTGTTTGTCTTGAACAATCTTAGGTTTACTATAATTAATTACGAGCTTGTGCTTTGGGCTTGACACAGAATTTTAGTGCTTTTCTTAGTAATAAAATGACGCTAGAATAGTTTGCACAATGTTCAGAATATTAAAAAAATTTTTGAACGCGGTTTTTTCTAATATTCTTACGCTTAATTATATCTTGTAAATAAAGTTTTTATTCAATTCATTAGCGACTCTAGCTGCTGATTTTGAGGGCGATTGCTGCTCACCGCCGGTGTTTTCCACCTTCAGCCACCCCCGTAGACACCGGTAGCCTGTCCCTTTCGCAATCTTCCTACCAGATCGATGCGAGTCTGCTATTAGGGACAGACTCGCCGGCGACGCGATTCGATCGGCAACAACGCGACCTCTCACCCGAGTCGGCGTTCGATTAAGGATATACAGGGTGAGTCGCTCTTTGACTCGAATTTAAATGAATCGAACTTTAACGTTTCATATACTAGTTACAAATCACACCATTAAAACTGTCAATTCATTCGATATCCTCGAGACAATTTGTCGCAAAGGACATTTAGTTTGGAAATTGCACATCTCTAATTTATGTGGCATAAGTCAAAATGTTGAAAATTATATCAAACGTTAACATGCTTGAATAATAGAAATATTTCTAGAACAATAAATATTTGAAATAAAAAATAGCAACTCAACAACAGGCAAACTGCTCTTTCAACAACGCTGTTAATTTTGATTCGTCATATTTTAAGTCGGCTTGTCAAACCCCAGGCGAATGTCGTAAACATCGACAGCGATTGTCTATGTATACGTGTGAACTATGAAAATTGTCTTTTCACCCGTAAATTCTATAGACAATGCGTGATTCACGTAACCAACGCTAATAGTCAACCTATGTCAAAAAAACCCTTTTCCAAACTTTTTTTCAAAACGCTGAACTTTCCTTCTAATTATTTTCCTGACATTATGCTATTTTTTTGTTAAATAGAATATCTGGTAATTGATGGTATAAGCAATGAATAAATAATTGCTTCACACAATAAATTGATCTCGGCATAATTGACAACAGATTTCTTTGAATATTTTAATAAATTTTGAAATCAAAACTTAATGAATAAAATAATTAATAAATCAATACTTAATTTAACTTCTCATCAAGTCATTTATATAGAAAAAAATCTTAAAAATATTTCAGATGCACCGACAAAATTCTACTCAAGAAAAAAAATAACACAACAGGTTTTCCCTCGTCCTGTAAATTCCATTATATCCTAAACTTGTTCGGGGAGTTAGCTCTCTCACTGGGCGTGTACGCACCTTTCCAGTCACCCTGTAGCTCGCACCGGCGAACGGAAAAATCGAGCGCGTCTTTTGTGCGATCGTCGCGATCAGAAGCCGTCGCCGAGAGAGACGATTTAGGATCTCTCGGTTATTTCGATCGGCACAGCTCCGAAAATTACGGGGCGAACGTACGTAGCGTCGCCGGGGGGAACGCTTATTACCTGGCGGATGTCGCACGCGCACGGCGTGGTCTCTAATTCCACGGGGCCGGGCGGTCGATCGATCTCTCTCTTTCTCGCAGTCAACGCTCTCCTTTCGAGAAGGACCCGCTTCGTCCTCGCGCGGGGAAACTTGACCGACAACGCGACTCCGTGCTCGTCGAGAGGGCACGAGCGTACTGACGGCTGCCTTCTTTTACTCCGCGACGCCGCGCTCTTGCGTTCCTCGCTTATCCTGATTCGCAAAGGGGGGGAAACAGAGGATGGAAAGATAACGAGAGAAAGAGATCGGGTGGGAGAGAGTACGCGTACGCACACGCACGTCGCGACGTGCGCTAAGAAGGATCGGGCGGACGTAAGGGCGACTGTAGAGAAGGAGAAAGAAAAGGCGCGGGTGGCGAACCGTTCGCGGGAACCGAATGTGTGTGCGTGCACCAACACACGGAACAGGCGGTAATTCACGGACAGACAACTCCAACTGGCTTCTGCGCGCTCCGACTGCACTCGAATCACTGAGCGGCGTGGAGCGTGTAACGCAGGCGCTCCTCTTTGCTTCTCTAACCGGCTCGAAAACCGTGAGGGTGCCGGCATCTGTCGTCTCGTCTACGAGATCGTTTGCACAAATCGATTTTTCGAACCGCAGGTGTTTCACTTAACGAGATATAATAATAGTAAAATTAAAATTTTTTTAATTAATAAAAAATAATATTTTACTGGACACACAGATCTTTATCTTAGAAGACGAATTCAAAAGAAATCTGTTCTCTAAGATAAAAAAAAAATAAAAAGATACAATAATCCAAAAAGAAAAGAAAGATGATGTTCTCAAGAGAAACACATATGCATTTCAAAAAACAAAAAAGATAATTTTTTCTAAATAATAATTTGAGCAAAAATTATAGAAGTATGTTCTATGATAATATTTGTGCTGTCTTTGGATATTTGTCATAAAACAGCATAAAATTACCATACAATTGTAATTATTGCAAATACAAAATATTTTACTGAAACTGAAAAGCTTATTTCCAAAAGCCACTTTAAATCTATCGAATAATGCATATCAGAAAAGGAGATATAGGGGGAGAGCTAAAGGGTAAAGCACGTTCACTGCATTATTCAGTAGCGATACTCACCGCGTGTGCCACGGTTTACGCTTTCAACAAAGCTCGTAACGCAAGAATCACGCGCGTGATTACAAAATCTTCGACATACGTAATCGCGATGATCTCACCGGCACAAAAACGAAAAGAAAAGCTAACTATCATTAACGCAACTTAGCACTTTGCATTTTTCGTACTTTGAAAAATTACATTCATGATCGCGCTACGACGATCGGCACAACTGGCCTACAGGATCGAACGATTGCAGAATATTATCAGCGTCTTAAAGCGTTCGTAATCAAGTCGTAATCTTATCGTCACGTAATATTGCTGTAACACGATAACGCATCTTTTCAAGTTCCAAGTGCGCGAATTTTGTTGCCAAATTTATTTTGAGCATATTCTTTTATAATTATGTACTAATCGAATAAAAATATTCTATTTTCATTTTCATTGCTTTCTATTATATTTATAATTCCTTGTTAGTTTACGTTAACATTTTTTTATTATGTTTCCTCAATTTAAGTTAAAATAATTATTTTTATTATGTTATCCCGATTTTATTCCGAAATGCTAGAACAAATTTATATGTCTTGCATAACTAAACGTAATATGAAATATTACGAGTCTTTCTGAAACTTTATGAACTCGGAACATAAGGAATACCTTTGTATAATGAGACAGTCGAAGTCATTCTCTTAAATATGTTCTGCATTCCTGGAAGACGACGTGTCATCCCGGGATTACCTCTATATCTTCACCCAGGCGTGTCTCTCCTAATAAGCGGCTACTTATCGCACGGCGCAATCATCATCGTGTTTGATACGGTTAAACGGCAGTACTCGCGCCGTGAATATTTAATAATATCTCCGACGTCAGTCACGATCGAAGATGAAATGTCACGAAACATCGGGCTACAGCCGAAAGATAAATGTAATCATAGAATGCAAAAGATCTTGCAAAAAATATACTCGAATATATCGCAAATTATATGTGGTATATAATATAGTAAAAATGTGATAGACACATAGACAAGATCAATAAAGTTAAGATTGCATTTAGCACAAATTCAAAAACAGATTTAGGAAAATATACAATCGGATTTAATAAAATCGAGTAAAACGTGAATTTCAATTTGGCGTAATTTAAATTACGTTTATAACAAATCGAAAGAAAATGCAATCAAAGCGCGTTTAGTGCTTAAAATATAAAATCATGTTTTGTCGTATATCGAATATAAAAGATGAAAATTATTGAGCTAGAAAATGTCAATTAGAAATATTTAATATTAATATATTTTACAGCTCTAGAGATATGTAGATAATATATAATGTTCATAAAATAAATCATTAAAATACTATCAAATAACAAACAATTTAACTCACCAAAATATTCATATAATTCTTTGCAAAATCTTTGTGCGGTTGAATGCAAAGATTATTTAGCAAGAATGTGAACATTTTGTAACTATTTTCCCCCTTTTGTTATTTTAAGAATTAATGAAAAAGAGCGGATAAAACATATTTGTGCTCCTTTAACGCCAGAAGTTTCTGATTAGGGCAGATGTATTGCAAAATGCACATTAGTATTAAGTCGACTCGAGCCGGTATTCTGTTACGTTTAACGATGAACATCTGTCGAATAGAACGGGGGCGGACTGTAGCCAAGAGGGATTTCACGCGAAGCGAGATTTTGTACCACGTCACGTTGTCGATTTAACGAATCCATTCGATATTTACCGGCGTCAATTTCCGCACGATCTGGTATTAACCGATGCATGCACATGCGTATAGAAGTACAGATGTTATTTTGGTGCCGGGTATGCCGGATGACGTTACGATCCGCGCCATGTGCGTGGGCGGCTTTCGAAGATGCAATCTACCACGATAATCGGCTTCCACGATCGAATCTTTGAAACGCGAATTTACGAGTTGTTTCAGAAGCTCCATTTGCTCAAAAGAAATAAACTCACACGTGCATCATGTGTTCAACATATGACACAAGTTGAAAACAGCATTTTTCTCTCTTTTATCTTCAATTAAAATTATTGCGTAACATTATGATTAAATTTATATGTCGAAAAATGAACAAAAGTATGTTTTTTGAAAAAAATATAACGATGCATTTTTAATAACATTTTTCCTTAAAATTGGAATAAAATTAATGTGCCTACTCTTGAATCTAATTGTAGTAGTTCAAAAAATATGTCATTTAAAAGTAAGAAAAAAAGTAATATTTTTCATGTTAAAATAAAGATACGAAAAATATTGAGAATATAAAATAATGTTGAATTTTATGTTAAAAGATTATTACTTACTCAGTATCAGGCACAGGTATCATAGGAGGAGGTAGGCGTCCATTGTGGTCCAGGAAGTGATTGATTTCAGGTTCCTCTTGCACCGGCGTCTCATAGACGAGGGTTTCTACCATCGACCCTTTGCTCGAGCCGAAAGATACCCTAAACAATAAATTTTTTTAATATAGAGTAAACAAAAATATGATAAATACAAATATTAATAAAAAATTAATTCAATAAACTTATAATATTATACATAGTAATAATAGAATTGGAGCAATCTCGTTATATTTATCTCAGACATCCTGCACACAATCGGAACAGGTCACGTCTAGTTGTGAAAAATACTCATCATAAACCTCAGTTTTTCATCAGATGACCGCAATTGGCGACCGCAAGAGCGATATCAAAATCGAAATCCAGCGATCGCCACGGCGTCGGATTACGATCGAGCGGTGATCGAAATCGAGCCGACGTTTTGCGTCGCGTACACATGCCATTTATTTATTACTCGCTCCGGAAGCGGCTTCTCGAACCAGAAGAAACTGCCGAGTTCATGCTTCATCCAGCTGACGCTACCGTCATTCACGACCTGCATCTAGTGTATTTATATAGCTAGTTCTGGGTAACTTCATTTATATAGTACGATCACCCAATTTTATCAATGAATCAAGGTTGACTGCTGTTTGTTTCTGTAGAAAACTCATAAAGCTTTGATCGTAAAATAAATTCATCGTTTATTCCTTCCGTTTTAAACAAATTGTTTAAACTAACTTACTTCCGCAGTGATGTGAAACTACGATATATGATTACATTGCGTAAAATACTGCGTGAGTACAAGCGTCACATGATATCGATACGTCGCAAGAAGATTGAATATCGCCGATGTACCATTTACTTTGTGCGTTCGTACTAATAAGACAGAAAACGGCATTAGCGGATCACCGGCGCGGTGCAAACCGGTTTTCGCGCGTTCGCTGCATCGCGCTCGTGTGCGCGGCTTATTATTCATCGCTGCAACAGAGTTAATCTCGCAGTCGGATAAATTTCTCGATGCGGTTGGCTGCGTGTGTCAAGGAATCAATTAAGTCACACCGTCGCGAGAGATCGATAAGCCGCGTCAACCAATTTACGGCGCGGCAGATAGAACGAGAGATATATTTCTCCTTTTAATCGTTAGACACAATGTTGCAACAATATTAGATCTGTTCTGTGTTTGATTACATTTCTTTAAACCTGTCGTTTTTCCTTGCTTTCTATTTGCATAGAAGCGTAGCTATAAGCGTAACTGTGTACACATATATTCAGATGTGCTTTATGCTGGGGAATATAAAATAATAATAATAGATACACCTGATAAAAACTCGATAGCTCCATTGCAAGCTGTACATTGTTGAATGCTGGTTCTGGTCTGTGCTAAAGTGGACTGCAGTAAAGTGCTGCCACGTGTAGCCGTGTCCCTCAAGCAGAATATGTCAAAGTCACATCAGTGCTCGGACGACAAAGCTTATATTATATTCCAACGCTCTCTCTTTTATGCTTTTACTTTCTATACTTAGAATGAATCAATATATGTATACCTCTTTGTAAACAAAAAGCATGGTTAAAGATAATATTTAATATTAGATCAAAGTCTAAATAACGTACAAAAATAAATAAAATTTTTAATTTCTATAATTCATAGAAAGACATAGCGCAAATTATTGTATTAAATCAAGAACAATAATCTAATAATAAGTATATAATTTTTTCAAAACGTCGAAAACAAAGTAATAATAAGATTTTAAAGAAAAAAATGTAGCTAAAAATTAAAATAAAAAATATATTATATTAAAAGTTTCCGTAATTGTTAACACGATAACATGTTGTTTCTCAAAATCTCTGATTGCATTTAGTTGTTTCGCCTTATTTTATCTCATATTCCTTTGTTCAGCAATATTAAATTATTTGATAAAAATTGTTTCAAATGAATGGCTTTCTTTGTTAAAAAAAAAATTAAATTTAAAATCACTAAAAAATTTTAACTAAAATGTTTCTCAATGTGAATAGCAAATGTGAATAGCACAGTTAAATGTTCATATAAATATGTTACAATCTTTGTGAGACTGAAAGAGAAGGTGTCTGGGCTAAGATCGAGGATTGGGGTGGGTCGGGGTCGAGGTCGCCCGGTTGGCAGCCTCCCATCGATCCGGCTCTGATTTGACCTCCGAATTCGCTCTGATCCATGAAGGTCGTCACAACGGAAGTAACGTCTCTTCTTCCGTAAAGACGATATCTCCCATTGTCTGTTTTATTTCTCGCCAGCATCATAATACCCAACCATCAATTTCTAACCAGACCAATCTCTTCTTCTATCTCTTCTTCTCCGATATGGAATACATTTCCCAAAGCACTCAATTTTTAAGACACCACATATAGTAAAACACAATTGTTTTTAGTCTTTTGCTGTAAGCTTTTACGTTTTTAACATTGGTTTAAATATTTCGAAATTAATATTAAAATTTGAGTAAAGTACATTTAAAATGAATTAAAAAAATTAATTAATTAAATTCTGCAAGAACAAGTTAATTTCTAAAAGGTAACTTTGATTTCACATTAATTCAAGAATTCGTAGACGAACAAAGCAATAACGTTATACTGAGAGATATCTTGCACACATATTCAAAGAAAATTTTTTTAGAATGTCTATTTTTTCTCGGTCGCAGAAGAATTGCTGCACTGGACTGTGATAATTTTACTCTCACGGCTTGTAAGGTATCGAACGCAGCGAGTTGCGGCAGCCGATTAGCGAGGGTATAGTCTGGGCTTTGCTGGGAATCGATTACGGAATCCCACGGTTCTCGTTTGCTATAGAAAACACGACACTTCGCATTTATTTCAATCTCTTCACGCTTTGACACGCGTTAATAGTTACTATTTAACCTTTTCACGGACAGCTACAACGCGTGATACGACTTAGAATTCTAATATTAACAAGATATAGTATAAGCAATCGTCTCGGCGTGCACATGAATGCATGCGGATGCATGTGACATGTTCGTTCAAGTGTCAGATTAATAAACTCGACTTTATCTATTTTCTTTCGATAAATTTCCAGTATTACTTTTTTTAATGCAAATGGTAATGCTTTCATAATTTTTTAATTTTTTATATTGACTCTCTCGATAATGAATTTAATCAAGTTAAACTAAGATTTTATAAATTAGAATAAAAAAAAATTAAATAAGGTTTTATTAAAGCCTATATTTGCATTCCAGAAATTAATTTGTTAAAAAAGTTTAATTAACAATGTTAATAAATTCCCTAAAGTTTAACTTAAAATTTTTAAGTTTAAAAATTTCGGTTTAAAAGAAATAAATAAAAATAGATTAAAATAAGTTTTGTAAATGTCTCTTAAGAATATACGAAATGTTATCTCAAAGAATTTTAAGTGGGAAAAATCTAGATACGTGTACAAGCGCATTTATCGCTGCTGATACACTTATAAAAATAGACACCAAATGCGCAACTGTGTTTTCTAAGTACGCAATCCGTTTTGGCAACGGATCAGGTCATACAGTTCCTTTCTACAGTGATTCGAACGTCGCTGCCAGTACTATTACGAAGTTATCATAAATAAAGGTTCTTTCTCGAAGGCGTGTTAAGAAGATTAGCTATTTTCGGTATTACAATCTGCATTTTAAGTACTTTAAGCACTTTAATCTACATTTTAAGCATTTCAACATATACTTTATTACTTCGTCACGTAATTCATTGTTAAGAAATACTCGGAAAAGGCGCTAGATGCATCTCATCTCTTAATGTGTTGCCAAGAAATACTCTGAATACAATTTTCGAATTTTCTCACATATTCGTACAACAATGCAAGAGTAGTTAAAACGCAATGTCGTGAAATGATTAGATACATGGTAATTATAAGTGATTATCGATATTTCTAAATGTACTAAATAAAACTACGCATAGTCGAGTAATTAGCATCGTGGCGACAAGGTTGCGCGCTGAAATTTATTCCTATCGGTATAACGAGAAATTGCAAGAATTGCGTTTTTGTGCAACAACTTGACAAAGCTGCCATTGTTTTTTTCTGAGATTCGTTTAACCTCCTTAAATCAATGACGAATTTTGTATTTTAAGTAATGCCGCGTATAATATCCGAGAAATGCAACCGTGAGGTCAAAAGAGATTAAAAACGCAGAGGGGACTGAGGGTACTTGAGAGAATCTTCTTTCACATTATTCCACGACGATTTCACACTTAGTCACCTCTCGCGATCCCGTGTCTCTTGTCAAGATTATTAAGTACACTCAGAAGACGGTCCCGGTACCGCCACCCGAGCGAAACCAACGCTCGACGCATTACGACGCATCCCGTCGAACTCTCGGCGCGGCTGACCCTGACCTATCCTACGTGCAAATGTCGTAAAAGTCTCGTACGAAAGTCAGCCTATAGACCCGATATACAGTAACGCTCTTTCTCTTTATTCCTTCTTCCCGTCTTCGCGAACGGGAGGCGTTCGAAATGCGCCGTGTAAAACGAACTCGTGCGCTTGTACTCGCGAGGCGGGTAATTGCGGGTTTTCGACGGCGAAGACGAGCTGTATTCATCGAGAACCTGCTCCGAGACAGCACGCGGTTTGATCTCAACATTTTCTCGACGCTCCGAGAGAAACGATAACAATGCTTCGCGGCGGCCCCGAAGACCCACTTAAGATTTTCATCTCGCAACTGCGGAACTGAATATGACAGGAACTCCGGATGAATAATGTTCTAACATCCTGGATAACGCAAAGTACATCGCACCGTAAACGAATCTCGCCAAGATTCTAAGCTCAACGCTTTACATTCTGTAATACATTCGACATTTCATTCCAGCTTGATAACAAAATAAAAAATGTTTAATTTAAAAAAGATAAAACAAATATAGGATTTTATTATAATGCACCAACATTTTTCAAATCAAATAACATTTTATATTTTATAGTTTAACTATGTTCGGGAATGACAAACGTAATTCAACATCTGGAATGAAATGTTATTATGTGAAGCATGTCGAAGCTCGAGTTATAAGAGTTGAAATTATTTGGAAGGATTTAATATTATTTGCAGGATGTCCAAGACATGTTATTCAATAACTTTTCATTTATAGCCATTTAAAAAATTGCAGTTTGAAGTTACAGATTTCTTTTTTTAATAAAAATTTCATCGACTCACCTTTTTAAGCTGGCATGCTTCGCTCCGTTCAGGATCTTGTTCTTGCGCTCGCTGCCGGCGGTGCTTGCGTCACTGTCGATGCTATACAGACTGTCGTCCTTGGTGACCCTGCTGGCGTTGTGCAGGGTCGATTTCCTCGCGGTGGTGACGACGACGGTGCCATTGTGCTTCGGGCTCTCGACCGGTCGAGAGTCCCTTTGCGAGGCCGGATGCGGGGAACCGTGCCGGGCGGAAGGATCGCCGCCGCCGACCGGATCCTCGATCCTGGTGGAGACGATCATCGGTCTAGTAGCGTCCGCGTATTTTCTAGGCGACGTGCTCACCACGGCGTTGCTCTTCTGCAGTCTGCCAGCCGCGCGATAATTGTTTTGTTGGTTGCTGGATTCTCCCGGCGGTGGCTTGTCCTCCGTCGGCAGCATGTACGACAACATCGTCCCTTTTTCCTTCACCTAAATACACACGGAAGCAGACGGAAATTCAGTATGATCACTGGCGAAGACGAGTCATTAACCGGGTAGCGCGACTGTGAGAAAAATACGAAGCGATACAAAAGAGATCAATCGAGGGTCGTCGGAAGCGGATAGAAAAAGTATACCGTTCGCGGTAAGAAGAGCATGACGGGAAGCCGGTTGACTAATGCGCGAGGAGAGCGTTAGAAATTAATGATATATCGCTCGAAATAGTTAAAAGAAATTTGGGCAATTCTGTAGACTGAATCAATGCTTGCCAACAATTGCAAAAGCTGAAATATTATTGTTGAAAAAAGTTTTTACAATATGAGATATTTTTAAGTGTTTTTTGAAGCAGTAATCTACTAATTTTTCAAGGATTTTTAATAAAATTTATTTTATTAAATAAAATAATCCTCTCTCTCTTTCCTGCTTTTTAAAAAGAGATAAATAGTATTAGGCAAAAAAAGCTGTAAATTATATTGAAGATTTCAGAAATTCACTATTAACGAAAAAAAAAAAACAGGAAATAAAGTGTTTTCAATTTTAATTACATTTCAATTTTTACATCTTAATATTTGAATAAATTATAAAACCTATTAATGAGAAATTTAATAAAAAAAGCGATCGAGAGATAATCGGTTCCCTTGAGAACAACGAACAATAGCCGGCATTGTTCCTGGAATATTAAAAGGATTAAGCCGACACAGTTCGATATCTGGCGAGACGGTCGAGCGATTTTACAAAGTCACGCATGTCGCGACGTATATAATTTGCGTGTAACGGTTAAAACACTATTATTAGCATGATAAGTCAACCGTTCCCGATGCGTCGCGACAGTCTTTTCCGGACGAGTGTCATCATCATCGACAACGAGTAACTGTATCGAATACGTTCGCCGCAACGTTACGCAACAATCACGATCAATCGGAATGAGAACGCTCGCGGACGAAACGATCCGCTTTAAATGCGTTTACATAGTCACTGACTGACAGACTCGACGTCGTGCTCCTATCTTTAGGCGCCGCCGCGTCTTTGACAACAAAGGCTATGCGCGCGCGCGCGAAATCGAATGTAAAAATGTTGGAGAATTGAATGAAGCTGAGATTCGAGAGCAATGCAAAGCTTGTAAATGGAAACGTTGACACGTGATAAAGAATATAGTTTACGTCGTCGCGAAATACCGTTGCGAAGTTAACAAAGTTGGAGAACGTTGCAGAGAACAACGAACTCCGATGAATGGGAAACAAATGGAGAACAGATGATACCGAAGAACATTAGATCAAGTGCAAGGTTCTTAATGACAATCGTATTCGAACGCTCCATTTAGCTCCAGAATACTACAAGAAGCTTAAGTCGTGTAAGAAAATTATTATCTCGTTATTGTTGTTTTTAAAATATTAACATGCGATCAATACAAAATGTACTTTTCTTGGAGAAAGCAATTAAAGTGTACAAAACTGGTCTACAAATTTATAAATGAAGAAAATAGATAATAGCGAAGAACATTGTACTCGATGCACATTTTTCTTTTTAAATAACACGATAATTTCAATGACCTAAAAGTATGAAAATCCTACAAAATATCGCGAATCCGCTCTGCTGATTCTTGTATCTCATCCGGATATTGACTCACCGGCACGTAAGTTTATATATCCCGCGGCGTTTATCACTCACATACGAAGCTTTACGCATCAGCGATCTTTCGCGTGAGTTTGGTTTCACTTCACGCTTAAACGCGTCTGTTGCCATTCTCGCGCCCGCGTGAGAAAAGCACGCGATTTCGCACGTCGATTCATTAGCGTATGTACAAACGTCGCCATAAGCTCATATTTCGCAACTGCTTCCGCGCTTTGTTCGTTTGCTCGCTCACGCCGGCGCGTTTCGAACGGAGTCACTCACGCAATTGCGTTTAACGATTACTTTATTTAATCTCGCGATCGTGCAGTATCAATATACAATCTCGTTTTTGCGAAATAAATTAGCGCATCAATCCTTGCGCAAAGACACGCACTATGTACGGACATTGTTTACATTTAATGAAAAATTACAATTACGCGAAAACTGTCGTATCACAATAATTTTTAATAATATTATAATAATAACGACGAAATCCTCATCGATATTTTTAACGCGATCATGGATACTGTTACTTTCGATGCGAGCATTTCCGTCGTTACCTTCGACGCGAAGGATGGCGAGGAGAAAAGGTAACGCTCGCCAGTAGAACGCCAGGCTGCAACTGAGCGCGACGCAAAAGCGAGGCAAAGGTTACAGATAGACGGCCGACTATAGCTATAGCTACTCTACTCCGGTCTAGTCGTTTGCTCGCCGTTCCGTTCTAGGCGTTCTATGCCGCCGCGGCTCTCTGGCAGCGTGCATCAATTCGAAGTCTGTACCGTCCTCTCGAGGCACATGCATCTTGCAGCGTGCACCGGCCTCCGCCTGCCGCGCGTTTCTCTTAGGCGTCCCGCGCGAATTTGGATTTCTACTCGTTTGAAATAGTTGCACTTCTACTCGATTGACTCGCAGCCTCGCTCGTTAATGTTGCATCGGAGGGGTAGTAAGGTTGTAAGTTTTTATAGCTGCGCGCGAAAATGGATCGATTCCATAAAAGCGATAAATTGAGAATTGCCATGATTACCGGGTGATCGTAGCGTGACAGTGGCGTCAACCTGTGGACCATTTTTGCGCGCTTCTAATTGCTTTCTCCAGGAAGAGTACTTTCTCCATGTTTTACCGATCATTCGTTTAATGCTAAAGTGTTCTTACATAATGTAATATCTTTTCAATAAGAGAATATTTAAATTAAGTATGTTAATTTGTTATTAAATTTATTTTCACCAAGCATTAACTTTGTACGTTTAAGATACAGACTAGACATTTAATTATCTGATAGCTTCGTCGTATCTTTGAAACACACATTCTGAAGCTAAATAAGAACATGGCAGGAGTAGTTATTGCGGAGGAGAGAAAATGTTCTACTAGATTGATAAGATCTCTACGAGTGAGTCTACAGGTTGCAATTTAGAATTAGGTCGGCAAGATGTATTAGATGATTCTCTAAATCTCGCTGGTATCTAATTTTTTATTAATAAAAATTGTAAAATTTATTTATATTTTAACTATTATAAAAATTAAATTTTAATATTTAAAAAATTAATTATTTTTTATGATTATACCGATTTTAATAAGTACAAAAGTTAATCTATTATTTATTATTATAAATAAATTTGAAAATGTAGAGAAATAGATTTATAAATATTTGTTATAATCAACTATTCTTTAAATAATGTCCTAATGGCGTGAAAATGAGACGTCCTTGTTTTGCGGCAGTTTGTACACGGAAGAAAATATGTTTTAAGATATATCTTAATCTCCGTCGTGTCTCGTCGATTTGCGATATCTCGGAGTCTCTCGCGGAACCGAAACGCTTGATCGATTCGCGCGTGCAGCTAAATTACAGGTGTAAAGGCGACCATTCGTCGCGGCGAATGCCGATGATACCATAGCAGCCGGCGCGGCGGCGATCGTGGTAGTCATTCAACCTGCCTCTTTCCCAAGCAAACCCCCGCCTGGCTTAAAGAGCCCCGAGCCCTTCCGTGCGTGAAGAATTTCACGGCTGAATCGGCTCCCATCCGCTCCCGTTACGCGACTTCGCGAACGCCGGAACGAACTCGATTTTCCTTCGACAAATCACGGTCACGGATATTTCGAGGCTGCACTCGCGACTGTTTCCAAGGCAGGCTCGCGGCCAGTTAACCCTTTAACCGACTTCCTCCGTTACACTTTTTTTGTAATATCAAGTACGTGATTTTTTTCAATAATTTTGTGTCCAATAATTTATAAAATTTACCAAGATGTGAAAATTATAATACTAAAGAGAGAATTATTTCTTGTATTACAAATAAGGTAAGTTTTCCACTTCAACAAACAAAAATTATGAAATTTTCATATTAATGCATTGAAAAGAATATTTTGAGCAAAGACAAAATGATTTTTTGATTTTTTCACAAGTAGAATGCAGAAAAATTTAAATTTGACGTACTCACGTTTGCACCACAAAGTACTCGAGGCAGAGATATCTGGTGTGTCCTCTTGATAAAGTAACATCGGGACTATCTGAAATTAAAATTTGTGCATTGGTTAGAGAAAGTGACATTTAATTAAAAATTTCTAAGATATATGTTTTATAAAATTTCTACTTATATTATATATTACTAAAATTATTTCTGATGTAAAGTTTATCGCTTTATTTGCCTCTATTTCATCATCAGAAGCATCATTGTAAGACTTTTAAAGGAAAGTCTGTTCAATGTTAATCTATTTTGAGAAAGATAGATTTAATGAATATCTTGATGATCTAAAAAGCTTGCATTATATAACAACTACTAACTTGTCTAACTATGAATACCGTCTACAGTCTGAATTGAAAGAGCTAAATATTGGTCTAACGAAAAAGCATCTTCTGAACAGCCTATTACTCGAGAATGAAGAGGATGTTTACACCGAGTTTTTTCCCTCAAACCGGAAAAAAGCGAGGGAAACGAAGAGAGGAAATGATCTCGTCTCTCGCTTGAATGGGCACCTGTTTTCGCGAACAGGTGACATCATGCATACGCGGGCGTGAGAACCCGAGGACGCACGGGTCGAGGGCAATGACTTCTGCAACACTGACATGCGCCGAGATACGAATAATGAAACTCTCCCTGAAGAGGTTCGTTTCCGAGAAAGAACCAACTGTGATTTCATGACCTCTGTCGAGCTGGCCCCCCCATCTTGCACAAATAAAAAAACCAATAGCGCAAAATTATAAACTATTTATGAGCTTTCATATTCCGCAAATTAAAATTTTTGAGCTTGTCACGCTGAGCATGAATTTAATGTTTTTTATGGGGGGGCTGAGTCGATATCTCATGGTAAATGCACGTATTTTGCGAGCACATAAATGGATAAACGATATTTAGTTGGAAAATAATTAATTTTTTTCATTTTAAGTATAGTTCTCTCTTGTGTCGGGAAGATGAGAGGTGGTTTTTTTGTAAAGGGGTTGCAACTCAATAATCAAAATGCGCATATTTTAAAGGTTTATTCTTGGAATTTTATACTACGTTTGAAATATAATGTATTTTTTCTTTTTCTAGTACTTCTCTCTTGAGTTCCATCAATTAAGGGTTGTTTGAGGACTAAGGGGGTGAGCTTAAAAATCGAAACTATATCAGTTCAAAAGCTCATAAATAGCTTTTAATTCTACCGCAAAGATTGATCCAATATTTTTATTTTTAAGCGATGGGGGAACTGAGTCGATATCGACTCAGCCCTCCCCACAAAAAACATTAAATTCATGCTCAGCGTGACGAGCTCAAAAATTTTAATTTGCGGAATATGAAAGCTCATAAATAGCTTATAATTTTGCGCTATTGGTTTTTTATTTGTGCAAGGTGGGGGGGGGCAGCTCGACAGGGGTTAAGACCGTAT